TGGCTGCCTCCTGTCCTAAAAGGCCTTGGACCAGGATAGCAGAAAAATCACTTCTTGCTGAATAATCCTGCCACCTCCTTAAGATAACCATCTGAGACACTCCTCTAGTACCATTCCCACATTCTGAGATTAAGTGGGTGAGAAAATAAAATGGAGGAAAGGAGACTGCTGCACGATACTGAGGGACTTGTAATTTTGTTTTATTTGCATATCTTGCTAGGGTTACTTTTGGTTCACCACATTTCTCTGATGAAACTAGGGACGTCTATTATTATTATTATTATTATTATATTGTGCCCATCTGACTGGGTTGCCCCAGCCACTCTGGATGGCTTCTAACACATATAAAAACATAATAAAAAATTAAACATTTAAAACCTTCCCTATACAGGGCTGCCTTCAGATGTCTTCTAAAGGTTGCATAGTTACTTATCTCCTTGGCTCGGGGGGGTCACATAATTCCATACCCCCTCCAACGTTTCTCCAATGAAAATAGAGACATCCTAAGGAAAAGTGGAACATTCTGGGATCTGGTCCGAAACCAGGACAGCTTCTGTAAATCCAAAACTGTTCCTAGAAAATAGGGACACTTGGAGGGTCTGTCTGTATGATAGGGATGCAGAATAAATTCAATTTGGTTCACTTTTTAATGCAAACCTACCTAATTCACACTTCTTGAATCAAAAACATATCTAGCCTTTGAAATCTTCACTTCTGCATATTTTGCACTGCAGTCCTCCATCCAAACAATGTGCAGAAAAATGCATATCTTTGGGGAAATTGTGCATCAAACTGATGTGGAAATGTGGTGCGTTGAGACTGGAAAACTAAGGAACTGAAATTGACAGAAACATTCAGCCCTAGTTAGAAATTGTGCTGCGAAGAGTTAACAATCTCTTGGCATTAAATAAGTGATGGGTTGGAGTGCAGCCAACGTTTTGTGCTATATTGAATGGTGTTATGGCTAATGGATAAAACAATAGAACGGAACTGCTTTTGTTATCTGGTCAAGTCAAGCCACGTATATCTTGATGCTGCCAGTTACTGTCTGTCTGTCTGTCATCTGTCTGTCTGTCTGTCAGTCAGTCTATCTATCTATCTATCATCTGTCTCCAACTTTCTATCACTCTATAGTGTGACTACAGTAATGCCATAAGAAAATGAGAAGAGCCCTACTGTGTTTCACACAGATGCCTGTGGGAAGCACACAAACAGGACCTGAGTGCAGCAGCCCTCTACCCGCTGCACAGAGGTAAGGACTGTATAGGATAAAGGGTGGAACCAGGGGTGGACCTTGGTAATGTGGCGCCTTGCGTGAGGCCAAAATTTGACACACGCCCTTGTGCTGCCTTCCCAAAGCTGCCTAAGCAAGGTGTCAGGCTTTGGAAAGGAGGCAAAAGACTCTGGCAAGGTCCTAGAGCACTCCTATCTCCTTTCCAAAGCTGGATAAGCATTAACTAGGCTTTGGGAAAGAAGAGGGAAGACTCTCGGACCCTGTCAGAGTCATCATACCTCCTTTCTGATGCAAGGGCCCACTGGGCTTTGGGAAGGAGGTGGGAAGGCTTGGCACCCTGTGTGGGGGAACCATCACACTCTTGTGGGGCTATGCAAAAAATGCATTCATGCTCCTCAGTGGCTTGAGACAGTGGAAGCTATTGAATTACTGGCCTCAACAGATGAGGATCCTGTGGTCAGGAGGTAGACCAGGCATAGGCAAACTCATCCCTCCAGATGTTTTGGGACTATAACTCCCATTATCCCTAGCTAACAAGACCAGTGGTCAGGGATGATGGGAATTGTAGTCCCAAAACATCTGGAGGGACGAGTTTGCCTATGGCTGAGGTAGACCATGTCTCAGTTCAGAGCACAGAGAGATGCCCTGCACCCCTCCTTGCTCTCTGCAATCTCCAAGCCCTTCCTCTGCACATACTTTGCCCATCAAAACAACAAGCCTCTTGCTACCATAATAATTAGTACTAATCTGAAAGGAGGCCCTTTTGGCACTGTCAGTATATCCCCTCTGATGTCATGGACTGGTTGGGCATGAAGAAACGGTGGGAGGAACCAGTTAGGGAACCACCAAGGCAAGAAGGTTCAGAGCCCAGGGGAGCAGTGGTAGCAGGACGATGAGTGGTCAGAGGGAAAAGAGGGAAAAGACTGGGAAGGGGAGGTGCCAGACACTGAAGGGGTAACAGGTCTCAGTATGTTGGAAGAGTCTGGGGGCAGAGAGAAGTTCAGAAACAGAGGCAGAAGGTGAAGCAGATGAATAGAAGGAGGGAGGTCAAGAGGCAGAGATGAGTCAAGCTAGTGAAGAGTCATGGGCGCCCCCCCCCCAGTGTGACAAGTTCCCTCCCCATCCCAACTCCCAGAACCAGGAGAGGGATTAAATAGGTGGAGCAAAGACAGGCTGCACACAGGCGCACTCTCCAATTGTTTGGAAGAAGCCCTGGAGCAGTAGAGACATAGATGGCTGTAGAGAGACAGGTACCTTTAGTCTTGGCAACTGATTTTATGGAGTGGGACCTACAGAACATGAGCTGCTGTGTTCATTAGGCTATCTGTGAAGGTCATTTTTTTCTAATAGTTATCTCCAGCTTTGAACTATGTGATTTACTGAGTGGCTTACTCTGCAGCACCTCAACAGTACTTTCCTCCTTTCAACAATATTTGTGTGATTGTTGCCCTTGCCATTGTGGATCCTTAGGACCATCAGATAGCCAAACTGATGCCACACAGCTCATTACAGAATCCATAATAAACTAGGATTACCCACATGACTACTGTCTAGAAACACTGCCCTTCCTCTCAACTGGCTTTATGTGATCATGTCATCACATTACCAAGTCTAATTCACCTTGTTGCATCATGACATCATTCTGTTCCACTTGGGATCCCCAGTTGGATAGGCCTGCCCATGTGATTATTCCTAAGAACACTTGCTATGTAGATGGGGCTGGGAATGTGGTACAGGGATGGACTTTGGTTTCTCAAATTTCACTGGCACCCTGCATGAAGCCAAAATTCAACACCACCTCACCTCTCGTCTTATTTTCTGTGTGTGCACTGTGTCATAGTTGCAACACCTTGCGGTGTGCCCCTCAAATCAGCACCCAGTGCTAGGGAACCGGTCACACTGCCTTTAAATCCACCTCTGATGGCAGTGAAACAGCAGATTAGGGGAAAGATGGCAAAGGCATCGTTGGGGGAAAGCAGTTTAGCTGTTTCCCCATCCCTTCAACTTTGATTGGAAAACAGAACCTGGCGAGCATGCAGAACAACCCTCGTAATGATACTAATTTTGCATTTTAAAATCAACTGTGTGCAATCCACTCTGCTTTCAGAGATTTGAGGACAAATGCAATTCAGAGCTTGGGGCTCGTACATCCATTTCTTCATGTATCCGTGCGAAAACACAGTGCATTGCTCCTGGGGTGAACATCTGCTCACATCCAGTGCCACAGGCAACTTTCATCTGTCTCCTTCCAAGTACTTGCAAATGAGGGCTTATCACAGCCCTAGTGGCATCAGTCCCAATGTGTGGCATATCGAAAAACACTTCCATCCTACCATCGTCCAAGCCCTTCACCTTGGCAATGTTTGGAAGTGCCCTGGGAGCGTGGCCACAGAGTCTCTTCTCTCCCCTCTCCTTTCACCTCCCCCCACCCCCCAATCTGCTGTGCTTGCCTTGCCTTTGACGTCAGCTTTGAAATTGCTCGCTGTGATGTGCCGTGGCTTTGCTGTGTTCCCTTTCTAGTCATAATATTGGTTCAGCCGTAACCTCGGCACTTTGAGGTATAATTGTCCCTGACAAGAGGGTGAATCAATGGTGGAGGGTTGATAAGCATTACATACAGATGACAGAAGTCAGGACATATCGGATTACTGCTGTGAATATAATAAAAGAGAGACGAAACATGTTGGCGGCTCAAAGACAAGCCATTTCATAACTCTCTAGTGGGGCTATTATCTTCCATTTACTGCCACTGATAACCAGGTTGCCAATGGTCTCCATAGGATCCAGTTACAATCCATTTAACATGTTGCTTGCCAGGCACAGCCAGGGTGGGGAGGCGATATTGACAATGATTTTTAGCTTCTTTGATTAGTTTTAGGAGGGGAGTTAGATCTGCCTTGACCCAGCTTTTCGATGAGATAAGATACCAAGCAGGTAATGCTTTGAACTTTTTTTCTGGGTTGGTGTGTGTTTGTGGGTATTAGCCTCTTAGGAGAACATAAAAAGAGCCCTGCTAGATCAGGCCAAAGACCCAACTAGTCCAGCACCCTGACATCACAGTGGGTAACCAGTTGCCTATGGGAAGCCTGCAAGAAGGATGTCCGTGGAACAGTCTTCTCCTCCCTACTAGAGATTCCCAGCTACTGGTAAGGTAAAAAGCCAAAGGACTCCTGGACAGTTAAGTCCAGTCAAAGGCGACTATGGGGTGTGGCGCTCATCTCGCTTTCAGGCCAAGGGAGCCGGCGTTTGTCCACAGACAGCTTTCCGGGTCATGTGGGCAGCATGACTAAACTGCTTCTGGAGCAACGGAACATCATGACGGAAACCAGAGTGTGCATGGAAACGCTGTTTGCGTTCCCGTTGCAGTGGTACCTATGTATCTACTTGCACTGGTGTGCTTTCGAGCTACTAGGTTGGCAGGAGCTAGGACAGAGCAATGGGAGCTCACCCCATCACAGGGATTCAAACTGCCGTCCTTCTGATTGGCAAGCCCAAGAGGCTCAGTGGTTTAGACCACAGCACCACCCGCGTCCCAGCAACTGGTACACAAAGGCAATCCTCAACTAGCTGGACTGATTCAGTGTGTGGCAGCTTACAAGGTACTAAATCTGTGGTGTATTTACAATGCAGTCAAACCAACAATGCACGTTTGCTAGATAGACACATGATAAGCGCTGAAGTTCAGAGTTCTGTCAGTTTCCTAGAGAGGACTCCTGAGAGACACTCCCACTGTGACCTGTCAGTGGGAGGGCATATCCATACATATAATTTCCTCACCTGGCCTTTCACCTCATTCCAGCAATGTGAGAACATCTGCATGTCAGACACCATTTTAAACTGGGCTAAGTATGTCTTTGTAACTGGATGACCATTTTAAGCCTGCCTGAACAAAGCTGCTGTATCTGTTGCTCTTCAACAAGTATGCTGAGTGAGTAAGTGCTATTTTTAATTTTTACAAGACTGTTTGCGTGGTTATTTTTTTATGTTGGAGGGACAGGGGAAATGCCAGAAAAAATTAGTCTGCCTTAAAGCATCCTGGATTACTTAAACCAAAAGGCTAAAACCAGCCTATCAAAGCTTCCCTTTTAAATGGCGAAGGGATGCACTCTGCTGAACACACAAACATGAGGAAGGAAGGATAATACCTAGTATATCCTCTCCTAGCATCTAGCAAGAAAGAGTGTTCCCCAAACACTTCTCCCCCTCTCCAAATTATCCTCACAACAATTCTGTGAGGTAGCTTAGGCTGAGAGACAGTGAGTGGCCCAAAGTCACCCAGTGGGATTCATGGCTGAGCAGGGATTTGAACCCAAGTCTCTCCAGCACTCTAATCAATACTCCACACTGGCTGTATATCCTAAAGACACTGCAGTCTCCACTGACCTTCATTCCAGGAAAACCAAACCTTAGAAAAAGCACAGGAAGTCAGGGAGTCTCTTGCCGCTCAGAGATTTGGGTGCAAGCAGCCATTGGGAAGGGCCATAGCTCAGTGGTAGAGCATCTGCTTTCCATGCAGAAGGTCCTAGGTTCAAACCCTGGCATCGCCGGGTAGGGCAGAGAGAGACCCCTGCCTGATACTCTGCAGAACCATCTGCCAGTCACTGTAGACAATACTGAACCAATGGTCTGACTGAGGTATAGGGCAGCTTCCTATGTTCCTAATGCATAGTATTCAGCACCATCAATGTGCATTGCCACAAGGTTCTGGGTTTAGTCTGAGAGACAAGGGAAGGATGTTTATTGCTTTACACGAATCAGCTCTTTAGATCCATTGTTGAAATGCTGAGCTTCTGAAAAGATGCGAGGTGCACACATTCATTCACAACATTCTTAAGTGTGGAAAACATGCATTCCTTCATGCAATTATGGCGACAGAAAGCAACGTTTTAAATACTACATCAGAAGAATCTTTATTTGAATCAGCCACTAGCCATAGCAATAAAATGTACTGAAGATAGAGATGAAAACTTAACTACGCAAAATACATTCTGGAGGTTTACATCAATAATCAAACAACAGATCTTATTCTAATTGCCCCTGCTATTTTTTCCCCAGTTTTTGCTGTCACTTGATTATCTTGATCTGCTAGAAGAAAGAACACAGTAGCACGTGGACATAACCAGTTTTCCAGCGGAATATTTTGAAATTGACCCTCAAGTACAGCTGAAGGCAGCATATTTAATCTTGTGTAGGTGAAAGCGCATCTTTATTTTGGAATTGTTAAATTTTTCAAATAGAGTGCCAACATGTCAAAATGACTAGGTGGAAAATAATCATATCATACAGAAAGTCACAATATAAAATAGTGGTATGTAAGTAGGGAGTTCTCCACCCCTTTGTGAGACAAAAGTACCTGAAATTCCACTCCAGGGTTCACTGGAGTCTCTTAGGAGCTGATCCTTTACCATGGTGTCAATCATCTTTCATATTGATAGGTTTCAAGTCTATATGTGGCATGTGTGAACAGCATGAGATCTTGTTTTCAAGTGTTTGGCTTCAAATAGATTTAAAGCATTAGGCCTGAAAGTATGCATGCTTTGTTTTGTGGGGGAGAGTACAGTGGTACCTCAGGTTAAGTACTTAATTCGTTCCGGAGGTTCGTTCTTAACCTGAAACTGTTCTTAACCTGAAGTACCACTTTAGCTAATGGGGCCTCCTGCTGCTGCCACGCCGCTGAAGCATGATTTCTGTTCTTATCCTGAAGCAAAGTTCTTAACCTGAAGCACTATTTCTGGGTACACAGCCAGAGAAATCCGGAAAAAAATGTTTCCTGTTCTCCAGCATTGCACAGAGAAATGCACAGAGAAATCTGGAAAGATCAGCTTCATCATGACGAAAATTTCCTGTTCTCTGTGGGAAATGAAACTTTAGACTCTACTAAAATTCTTCTGTGTAAGAAGCATGCTATCAAGGCAGGGAAGCTCGCCGCCTCCCCAGCTTCCGACAGATGAGGTGTTTTAGATCCAAGACAAAAGCCCTTGCCATCTTTCCTGGGCTTGGGGATCAGAACCAGGCTCACACATGGGGCAGCGATCTGGAAACGCTTGGCCACAGAAATGTGCTTGGGTGCAAGCCAGCCTCAGCCCTAGGCAAATTCCCACCATGTGCAAAGATTCCTAGCCAAAACTGCAATCTGTGCGAAGTGAGGAAGTATGAAGTGATGAGCCATTCCTGGGTCAGAGAGAACACGGACAAGGGAACATGCAAAAACACCCTCCCCGGCTAATTCATTCCTTTATTTTTGTTTCCACTTGAGGAAGGTTTTGTTCACTTTCTGTTGGTTTCGTGACTGTAGCAATTTACAAACTTTCTGCCAAGAAGCCCTGGTGATCAGTGAAAGCATATCAGGAATTCTTCATGAGATAATTAGGAGCAACGGACAGACATTTCTCATGGAATGCACACATACATGTGTGTGCATGCAGATGTATTCTAGGGCAAGTTTACACAGGACAATGGTTATGCCCCAGAGGCCTGTCAGGTACCTTGAGTGGGTGGTCTGAATAATACTGGGCTCAAAATCAACCAGGAATTACAACTTCAGAAATCCAATGCATTGTGTTCACCAAGTGCATATTTACCGCCCCCATACACCCCCCCCCAAAAAAAATATCAATTGACAACAACAATAGCAGCCAAGGCAAAACTAAAAAACCTACATTGCTGGCTGGAGAGTACTGATTTGTTTCTCTCTCTTTTTGCCAATTATTTTGATAAAAATTCCAAATTATTACAAATTGTTGCCAAATTAATACAATTTAATACAATTTTCCAAAACCAGTTTCCTACTACTGTCCTTACAAGATAAATTTGTTTCTTCCGTCTGTGTGTCCCAGCTGTTGGGAACAACAACAAAATGACATTTCTCTCCCAAATAAGGCTACTGAGATGAAGAAACCAAGCCCAGAATGGGATTTTGCATGAAAGGACCGTGAGCTCAGTTCATAGCTGGTACTGGAAACAAATACATTCCTGGCTCTGAATGTATGCATGAGCTACCCTGCTCTTTAATTCCAAGTGGTTCCTGGTGTAGGTTCATTCCAAATGTGTTCTAGATATTGGTAGATCTTTTGGTCATGATGAAAAACAAAGTACTGTAGATCTAACAAGTCTGAAATCAGCCAGCTCCTGTTAAGAACATAAGAAGACCCCTGCTGGGTCAGGCCCAAGAGGGAGGCCCATCTAGTCTAGCACTCTATTCCCACAGTGGCCAACCAGATGCCTGAGGGAAACCAGCAAGCAGAACTGAAGCCTTTCATAGGACAGAGGCTCCTCCCCTCCCCAGATGCTGCTTCTAGGGGTGAAGTTAAGGCCTCACTCATTTCCTCAATCACATAATACCAGCGTACTGGAAGCAATTATTCTTCAACATCAACTTTGTTGGACTGGTCATGTTGTGTGGATGCCTGATTATCGTCTTCCAAAGCAACTACAGTGGTGCCTCACAAGACGAAATTAATTCGTTCCGCGAGTTTTGTTGTCTTGCGATTTTTTCGTCTTGCGAAGCACGGTGTCGGGAAAGTTTTGGAAAAGCTTCAAAAATCACCAAAGTCTTTAAAAACCTCAAAAAAGGCTACCACACCGTGTTCTATGAGTTGCTCCTCGAAGTCAAGTCGCAACTGTATTAATGGTGTTAAGAAATAGGAAACAAACTTGCAAGACGTTTCCATCTTGCGAAGCAAGCCCATAGCGAAAATCGTCTTGCGAAGCAGCTCAAAAAACAAAAAACCCTTTCGTCTAGCGAGTTTTTTGTCTTGCGAGGCATTCGTCTTGCCAGGTACCACTGTACTCTTTTTCCAACTTAAGAATGGAAAGTGTAATGCCGGTGGACAACAAAAGAGGTTCAAAGATGCTCTCAAGGCAAATCTAAAAAAAATGTAGTATAACTGGGAAACACTGGCCTGCAAGCACTCCAATTGAAGAACAGCCTTTCCCAAAGGTGCCATGGGCTTTGAAGATGCTCGAACTCAGGAGAAAAGGGAAAAACGTGCTAAGAGGAAGGCACGTCTGGCAAATCCTCACCATGATCAATTCCTACCCGGAAACCTATGTCCTCGCTGTGGAAGGACATGTGGATCCAGAACTGGCCTCCACAGCCACTTACGGACTCATTGTTAAAACCATGTTTATGGAAGACAATCTTACTTGGCTACGAGTGATTGCCAAAGTAGAAGATTCATTCATTCATTCATTCATTCATTCATAAGATTTCTTCCTTACCCTTCACCATAGGGTCCCAGGGTGGGTTACAGTAGCATAGTATGCAATGAAAAAACCAGATAAAAAAATTCAGCTGCAAAGCAAGTACAACCATTCTATATGGAACAGAAGATTATACATTCAATAAAACAAATTTGTCAAAGGCCAGGAGCTATGATGCAATAGTCTCTTAACAATCTCTTCTGCTTGGTAAGTACTAATACAAGAGCCCTCCTCATAGAAATGTGAACTTCAGAACACATCCCAGGATACTCTCCAATGTGTGTGGCTTCCCTCCATGGTACACTTGCATTGCAGTAGAGCTGGTAGGCCAGACACTGGTCTTCCTGCTCAGTTGGCCACTTGAGTGGGTGGGTGGTGCCACACACCTGTCCATCACCTAACATCACCCTAGCAGCAGGTGGCCCTTCTTTTTTCCTTTGTAGTGCAGCTTGAGCACAGCTGATCCCAAAGAGCATCCTGTCTCTGTCGATAAGCTGATTGAAAGTGACAGCAAGTCTCCCCTGCTAAAGAGTGTTAAGGCTCATGATTGTTCATTGGCAGCTGTGCCTCTACCTGCCCAACATCTGAAGTCACTTATTATGTCAGGTGTAGAGTAGAAGGTGGGATCTGGTTTGGGGAAAATGGTTCACAGGCCAAATTGGGACCCATGTCTGGCCTGATTAAGCCCAAAGGCCAGATGTTCCCCACATACTGTATAACACACTGCAGTAATCAAACCAATAGGATACTGGAGCACAGATGATCTTCTGTGCCACAGAGATCCCAAGAGCCTCAAGTGATAGCAATGGAACCAGAAGTACCCTCAAGCTGCACATCTGCTTCTTCCAAGGGAGTGTAACCCCATCAAGAGCAGGAAACCTCCCACCCATCTGGTCTGGGGAACCAGCCACTCACAGTGGCTCAGTCTTATCTGGACTGAGCTTCAGTTTGTTGGCTCTCATCGTCTATTACTGAGGCAAGTCCAGCACATCCATTGCCACACCTGCAGATGTAAAGGAGGAGAGCTGTGTGTCCTCAGCATATTGCCGATAACATACTCCAAAACTCTGGATGAACCCACTCAGTAGTTTCATGTAGATGTTGAACAGCATAGGGGATACAACACAAAGGAACCCCACACTGAAGGCTCCAGGGGGGGTGAAGAGCACACCCCAAGCATCACCCTCTGGAAACGACCATCCAATGCAATGCCACCCACCTGCAACTCAGACAGTCGTTCCAGAAGGGTACTATGGTCGATGGTATCAAAAGTTATTGAGAGGTCAAGGAGAATTAACAGGGGTGTATTTTCCCTGTCTCTCTCCCAACAGAGGTCAAGCAAGGCAGGTTCTGTGCCAAAACCTGGACCTAAATGCCACCAATACCCTGACCATTGTGTCCTCCACAACCATGGGCAGGAAAAGGGTGGATATGGATGGAGATGGATGCCAATTACCTTGAACACCAGTACCCTTCCCTGAATTCAGGGTATTCCCCCTGGGCTTCATTTCCAAAGGGGAAGGGGTTCCATAAACTGCTACCTGCTCTGCCTCCATTCTATGCTGACCAACTAGGCACACTGTATGAATGCTAAGGAAGCCCTTCCCCAGTCATGTCCTCACAACTACCACCCAGATACCCGTGGGAAACCTACCAGCAGGACCTGAGCACAAGAGTGTTCTGCCCTCCTGCAGTTTCCAGCAATGGGTGGGTATTCAGAATCATTACTGCCTCTCAACAGTGAAGACAGAACATAGGATAGTGGCCATTGATAGCCTTATCTCCCACCCCCGGTGAATTTTATCCAAATCTCTTCTAAAGTCATCCAAGTTGGTGGCCATCACTGCCTCCTGTGGGAGTAAATGCCATCGTTTAAGTTAGTTAAACTAAGTTTGCTTACCATAGTTTAATTAAGTTGAACTTAGTTCTCCATAGTTAATGCCCTCTTGGCTTTTAGATATCAAGAAGGTTCTACAACTGCAGCCTCACCTCTCTCCCATCTCCCACTAGGCATCAGGAGTTGACCTCCTTAGAACCAACTTCCCTGGCATTGGAGGTGTGTCTTCTAGAGACCCAGGTCATGCCACCTTCTGCCAGTGCTGGGCTTGTTGCCTCGGCAACCATGGCAGTGGTACCACTCTTCAGTGGTCATGGCCATCCTTCCTGGGATTTTGTAAAATTATTATTTATTCAGTTTACGAGTCACCTAATTAAAGCAAATATATATTCTCCAGGCAACACACACAGTAAAACAGTCAAAATTAAAACAAGCCACACAAAAACTCAATAAAACCGTAAATCAATGCAACCAACCCAGCAGCTGATAAAAGTCAGCCGTAAATCCAGGCACAAATCAAAAGTCCAGTAACCAATCCAGCAAATTGTATCCATGCCTGATTGCTGAGATCTTGGGAGGGAGTCTCAGTTCATGGATCCCCATGGCTCAGCTTCACAGCTTATCTCCACTGGGAGCTGTGTGTTCCGTACTGTGGGTCTGACTCCTGAGTTTTCGGGAGAAGAGCAGGTTACAGAATGTACTAAATTGCTTAAAATCAAAGCTCGTTTTTAGTAGGTTTTTCATTTAATTTGGTTTTTTCTTTTATCCTACTCTTCAGCCAAAAAGTGGGGGAAAGGCTCTTGGAATAGCTTACAAATCCCAATCTGAAAAGACAAAACACAAAAGGAAAATGGATTGGGAGGGAGAAGGAAATAAGTAAACACACTGTATTAGATACCAACTGTGCAGAATTCTCCTGGGCTGGCAAGAGTTAAAATGAGGAAAACACAGGCTGCTTCACTCAGAAAGCCATTTTCTTAATTATTTTAGTTTAACACTCAAGTCAGGGTGTGCAGAGGTGGGAATTCATGTGTAATCTAAAACCCCCTGACTTGGGGACAGCATCAGGCTGAGAAAACATTAGTGGTACGATTTCCATTACATTAAAAATTATTCCTATTAGGCCAGCCCTGTGGGCATTACATTCTGTCCGCTCCCTTCCACTGTTACATCCGTTGATGTCATTATCATGCTTTAGGAGTATAACGTTACCATTTTATCACAGAAACCTTAAACACTTACATCCAAATCACCGAATCGAGTTATTACCCGAGATGACCAAATCTCAGTCTATTATCATTTGATTTTTTTCCATTTAAAGAACAGTGACAAACACCGGCGACTCCATTTTATTTAACATGAGCAGGAGACGGATGTGGTTTAGAGATGCATAAAGCTTGCAAAGGTGTGAGACAGTGGGCTGTATCAAGCTGAGCATACCCATGAGCATACCCATGGAAATCAATGGACAAGACTAACTTGAGCCCATGGATTTCAATGGGTCTGCTCTGAGCACGATTTGGTTAGATGCAATGTTGTGATTTCTGTTAAGGATGTAGATGTGCCAGAATTCACTTAAAGCAGCAATAAGAGATGTGCATTCATACACATCTTGCTGGGCACATCAACAATTGGGGTTGAGATATTCCCCCCTCCAAAAAAAAAAGGATGTATTGCTTTAAAAAAATGTTATCAAGTGCTTCCTTGACTGCTGGAGGATGTCAGTCCTCCTGGAAAGGCCATGGCTCAGTGGAAGAGCATCTGGTTTGCATGTGTAAGATCCCAGATTCAATGTCTGGCATCTCCTTTTAGGGCTAGGAATGCCCCCTGCCTTAAACCCTGGAGAATTTCTGGGTTCTCCACTGTAGACCAGGGATAGAAAGGGGAAACTGTTGCCCTCCAGAATTGGATTCCAACTCCCATCAGCCTCAGCCTGCATGATCAATGGTCAGGGATGATGGGAGTTGAAGGCTAAACACATCTGGAGGGTCACAAATCTCCCATCCCTGGTGCAGACGATACGGAGCTAGATGGACCAATGGTTTGACTTGGTGTGGGGTGAGTAAGAAGCAAAATGATAGAGGTTTATAAAACTATGCATGGCATGGAGAAAGTGGCTAGAGAAAAATTATTCTCCTTCTCTCTTAGCAACAGAACAGCCCATGAAGTTGAATCAAAAACACCACACAATTAAACTATTGAACTCACTCCCATGGCAGGCAGTGCTGGTCACCAACTTGGATGGCTTCCAAAGAAGACAGGACAATGCATGGAGGAGGAGGCTATCAGTGGTCACCAGCCATGATGGATATGCTCTGTCTCCACAGTTGGAGGCAGCAGTGCTTCTGAATACCAGTTGTTGGAAACGAAGTTTGTTCTGGGTATAAGCTTTCGTGTGCATGGTATCTGAAGAAGTTTGCATGCACACGAAATCTTATACCCAGAACAAACTTAGTTGGTCTCTAAGGTGCTACTGGACAATTTTTTAATTTTTATTTATTTCATTTAAGAATATTTATTCTATATTTGAGACCTTAAAATTCTTATAACAACCCCCGTTTGAGGCTATAATTTTATTTAAAATTGTTGCCCCATCCAACAACCTGATGTCCACTCTTCCCTGATGTTATAACTGGATGTGTTTATGTAACCCTGAAGAGACTTGCATGTCAGGCCTCTTAAGGCTGTTTGTAAGTGTAGCAGTGCCCATAGCTGGATATAGGATGCTGTATCATATAAAATAATCTTGTTTTGTTTGGTTGTTGAATTATTTGTGACATTCTAACACTTTGTGAAGGGACGTGGGTGGTGCTGTGGGTAAAACCTCAGTGCCTAGGACTTGCCGATCGTATGGTCAGCGGTTCGAATCCCCGCAGCGGGGTGAGCTCCCGTCTTTCGGTCCCAGCTCCTGCCCCCTAGCAGTTCGAAAGCACCCCTAAGTGCAAGTAGATAAATAGGTACCGCTTTATAGCAGGAAGGTAAACGGCGTTTCCGTGTGCTGCGCTGGTGCTGGCTCGCCAGAACAGCTTCGTCACGCTGGCCACGTGACCCGGAAGTGTCTCTGGACAGCGCTGGCCCCCGGCCTCTTAAGTGAGATGGGCGCACAACCCTAGAGTCGGACACGACTGGCCCGTACAGGCAGGGGTACCTTTACTTAACACTTTGTGAGAAGCCTTCTCTCCCTTTTTACTTTAAAAATGAGGGTTTACGATCTACACTTAGCAGGAAGGTCCATTTAAAATGAAATACGTAGTTGTTTTGCTTCTGCTTTTTTTGTGTTCTTGGGTATCAAAGATAGCCTCCTGGCCCTGCTCCTCCAGTATGCCACAGCAACATTCCCCAGTATGAATCTCTGCTTTCGTTGACCATAAGCAATATCCCACATGGCTAGGTTGCCCATCTTTAGGGATTTACTATGGCTTTGGTCTTGCACTCAAGGGGTGAGTTGCTCTTCTTAGAGGTTCACCTATCCTGTTTGAAGGGAAAGATGGTCAGGACGCAGGCCTGTTATAGCTTCTGGGGTTGAGGAGGTATGTGAGCCTCACCTGTCCTGAGTCTACTCCAGCTGAGGAATCACACAACTCCTCCCCAAGCTAGTGAGCCCCACCTGGGCTGTGGGTCCTTGCCTTCCTTTGCTCCAAACGGACAGCTGTTAGTTCTGGGATCCTGCTGATTGTGGAAAAGCAGTGCTAGAACTGGTCCCTGAAAGAGCTTGCAAGATCTCTCCCAAATCTCAAGAGATATTTTGCTCTCCTAGACATCTCTCAACAAACCTGAACAAAAGTGTGCAGGAACCTTTAAAGACTTTCGACTGCATCAGACCAACACGGCTGCCTACCTGAATCTATTTATAAATGCACACATATCTAAATATATAAACCACATGTCTGAAATAGTACAGGAGAGCAATCCTGAAGCCATTCTGACTCTCCCGATGACTTCAAATATTCCTCTGCAGTAAGGGAGGCAAATGGGGAAAGCCTTCCCATGGTCTTTTCACTTACAAATGCTGTCTTAAGGGCATAGTTGTGTATGAATATACAACTGGCCAGGACGCAGGCCTCCTATGATGCATGTATGATGATTTTCGGGTGGTCTTTGGCTAAGGGGGCTCGGCAATGTCAAAGTCTTTAAAGGTTCCTGCACACTTTTGTTCAGGGTCTCTCCCTCCTTGGAAGGATGAGAGGGAACTCTGTTGCAACAGAAAAATAAATACCTGCCTTGCTTTCTGCTGTATCCTGTCTCCATCCATTCTTCTCTGACCGATCATGGACTTAGGGAACTCAGAGTCCCATTGGGGAGTTGGGCAGCAAAAGCCAAACTATTTTTTACATCACTACCACTACAGCAAACTTGAAATGTTTCTCTCCTACTGCAATTCCAACACCTCTCCTTTAAAAAAAAATAAAAAAATCCTGTGATCAAGTCCTTATTTCATTGCAACAAAATGGTCTCCTCTTCTAGAATTCCTCATTGTGTTGGGTTCACTGGAGTCCACACACCATCTCAGAAAGGTGGCAAATGAACCAATCATGTTCTGGCACGTGCACAGAGTCTCCCTAGCAACAAAGATGGCAGCTTTGTAACAGCAGCAGCTGCTTAATCGGGGAGTGGGGGGGGGGGATACATGCTCTCATCTGAAGAATAATGCATGATGGAGCCCTATTCATTACCTGTTTGCAAAGAGTAATACACAAATGCGCAATGAAGTCAGACATTTTACAGGCATAAGTTAAGAAGTTTTTGGAAGTGTGTGGGGGGGACTTTTAATAGTAATGCCTCATCTCTAAATTGCCACAGTCCCATCTCTCGCAGTTTGAGGTTGGGAAGAAATGGTTCCTTTCTGCATGTAGAATGGCAGGGGAAAAACACCTCAACCCCTATGTGTTAGATAACAGTGCTTCCGCCAGGAACTTGTTCAATGAAAAAAGTGGCACATTTTGAATTTTGCACTGTGAAGTAGCCCTATTAATAGGTAACAAAGGAGAGCCCTGCAAGATCAGACCAAAGGCCCATTTAGTCCAATATTCTGTTCTCAAAGTGACCAAGCAGATGACTCTGGAAAGCCTGCAAGTGGGACATGAGTGGAGCAGCAATTCTCCCCACTAGTGACTCCCAGCCGCCAACATTCCAAGGAAATCCTGTGTCCTAAGTCCATGGGAGTTGTTGTAGTTTATAAGAACATAAGAAGAGCCTGCTGGATGAGGCCAAAGACCCATCTAGACCAGCATTCTGTTCTGGGGGCAGATCTATACTATGAAACTAATGAAGCTTAAGCTTCAGGATCCCTAATCTCAGAGGTGCCCCAGGAGCAACTTTAGTCCATGTTGCATTACAAAAATGGGTCAAATTTAGTTTTGACTAAAGTGCAAGCATAAGGGACGTGGGTGGCGCTGTGGGTTAAGCCACAGAGCCTAGGACTTGCCAATCAGAAAGTCGGCAGTTCAAATCCCCACGACGGGGTGAGCTCCTGTTGCTCTGTCCCTGCTCCTGCCAACCTAGCAGTTCAAAAGCCCATCAAAGTGCAAGTAGATAAATAGGTACCACTCCAGCGGGAAGGTAAACGGCATTTCCGTGTGTTGCTCTGGTTCGCCAGAAGTGGCTTAGTCATGCTGGCCACATGACCCGGAAGCTGTACATCGGCTCCCTCGGCCAATAAAGCGAGATGAGCTCCGCAACCCGAGAGTCGGTCACGACAGGACCTAACGGTCAGGGGTCCCTTTACCTTTTAAAGTGCAAGCATAAGCAATCGTCTCTAATATAATGCTTTTGTGTCTGCTGTTTTCAGGAATATGTTCAATTTTACACACACTTTCCCCACACTTCCACCATGATGCATGACGTCGTGTGCATTTATCACTTTTGGTTCCTCTTCATTTCCCACCCTTAAGTTCAATTCTCCAAATTGTCAGTTTGCTTTTTTAAAAAAAATGTCCTCATGAAAATTTATTAGCATTTCAGTGCAAATTTCTCCACATATACACATTTCCATATGCAATTTGGCCTAATATATCCAGTCCCCTCCCCCAATTTGAGTCTATGTCATTTTTGCTAATATATTCATTTTTATGCACACTGTTCCCTAAGACATGCATTTTTTTCTCCTAAAGGTTGGTTGGAGAAGCGCAGCACAAAATTTCAGTAAGAGTGGATCTGGAAGGACAGCTGTGCTTTGGTTCCCCAGAAAGTTTGACATTGCTAACATTTGGTGCTTAAAATCCAATTTCTCCTTCATCCAGACTTGGAACTGCCCATCAACAGCACTTGGAGAGCAGACTGAAAGGCCCACAGGTCAGTTGGTCACAGCCTTCCTTAGTATGGCGAGGAGTCTTGCATTTCTATCCTGATGATCACAATTATTTCTAAATGTGCATCTATACATATAAATTAGCATCACACATACATTCTCATTTGTCCTCTGTTTTCGCCAGGCCGAAATGGCACCCTCTGATCCCTTCCCTTGTGCCTTTCCCTTGGAAAAGAAATTAAAGAAGTGCTAAGTGTGGCTGCTTAGCAAAAGGGGGAAAGGGTGGCACATCCATGGCAGCTTCCTCAGGTTTACATAAATCACTGTTCACTTGCCCATGAGAAATATAGCAAGTGAGGCTGGATGGAAATAGATTCTGCAGTGACATTAGTTAATCTGAAATAATCCACTTTATTAAATGATAGTAATGTAGTAATGGCCATCACTGTATAAGCAATAAAGCTAAATTACATGGTAACTTGCATTAGCTCCTTGACATTTTATCCTGATTAATGTACAATTAATGTGTCACCTAATACTATACATGTGTTTGTCGATGGACAGATGGGTTAAATTTCACTACACACATGCATTGCCACCCATTCATCACTCAGGCTCTTTCTCTTCATCTAAAAAGGAGATTTCATTTTCTTCTAGCAGCAATGGGGGGACGGCATGGTAGCCCCTTCTCATAACATTTAGGCAGGTTTGCTTGTATCATTTCGCTGCCTTTCTCCGACTTGTGTGCAATGTGATATAGTGGTTAGACTGCTGGGCTAAAACCTTGGGAGACCTGGGTTCAAATGCCCATTCAGCCATGAAGCTCAATGGGGGGACATTGGACCAGCCACTGCCTCTCATCTTAGCCTACTTTGCAGTGTTGTTGGGAAGATAAAATGACGAGGGGGGAAGAACCATGTGAATCACCTTGAGTTCATTGGAGAAAATGGTGGATCAGCAATGCAACAAACAAATAAGCAAACAAATTCATCCTACCAGCTACTAGGAACAGAGAGAGGCATTTATTGTCATGCCAATCTGCCAGATTAGTACTTCCCAAGCCAATAACTTTAAGGCCCTAAAAAACGAAAAAGGTATTGCTGTTTTTAATCTGTGCTTTATTGATAATCATTTTAATATGTACACTGATTAAGAGGTCTATACGTTTCCTCCTAAATAATATAAATATATATAATATACTGACCGAAAAGTGCATATGCTCTGATTTAGGCAATTCTTAAGCTCTAAAATTTAAAATTATATTTTATAATTATTATTTTTAAATGTTGTAAGCCGCCTTGAATCCCAACTCATAATAATAGTGATAATATGCATCATAATAGGGAAATGGCTTGCCTCATCAAGTTCTCTGATATCAGGCTGGCAACCCAGAGGCTGAGTTCAGAAGGTGCTTCTTCCATTCCTAGGCAAACAGCTTAGTCATTTCCCATGTGTGCGTCTAGGGCAGAGGGTGGGGGTTTTATTTTCTTCAAAAGAAATTCATTGCGTAATGCCTCATGGTCTATTTTCAGCATTGGCTGAAAGATTTGGATCAGCAGGTGAAGCTGGCGGGTACTAGCTACGTGCATGGAAAACTACATTTGATCTTCATTTTGGCTTGGAAAACCTGAGCTGTAGGTTAGTGGTAGACCAGCTGCTTGGCATGCAGACGGCCCTGAGTTTGATCCCCAACATCTCCAGCCAAGGCTGGGAAACATCTCCAGCTTGAAACCCTGGAGAGCTGCTGCCAGTCAGTGTTGGTAATACTGAGACAGAATCATAGGATTGTAGAGTTGGAAGGGACCAAAGGGATTGTCTAGTGCAACCCCCTGCAATGTGGGCTGCATGGCACAATGATCTGCATTGTATAGAGCAGCTTCCTAGGGCTGCTCTATACAATGTCCCTGTGTTAACACAGTTGGCTGATACTTCCTCCATTACACAGGATGCAGTCCAAGCAGAGCTGCACATTGGTCCATACAACTGAAAATACTGAGCCACAATTCAGCCATGAGCCCTGTCAGATGTTCTACAGGGACAGTGGGAGCGCCACCTTGTCTGCCACCTTGTCACCCATCCTGGACAGCAGAATGTCTTGAATTACCTCTGCTGGCACGAGAATATAGGAAAGTGCTTTATACTAAGTCAAACCATTGGGCCATCTAGCTCAGTATAGTCGACACTAACTGGCAGTGACTCTCCAGGATTTCAGAACATTCCCAGCCCTACCTGGAGATGCTGGGGATTGAACCTGGGTCCTTCTGCATACAAAGCAGATGTCCTATTACTGAGCTACAGATTAGCCCAGCCAGTCTCCAGCCCAGCCCAACCCACTCTGCATTTTGGCAAGGCCAACAAGGAGCTGTTAGGTTGGAAAGAGAGAGCATCATCACTTCTAGTCACTTCCTGGTGGTGCAGCAATAAAACTGCTAGTGCATTGCAAAGCAGACAAGGTCAAGTGTGGTTTCATATTGGATGGGGGACCATGTGTTGAGATTCCTGCATTGCAGAGGGCTGGACTAGATGACCCTCGGGATCCCTTCCCACTCTACCATTCTACGGTTCTATGATTGTACCACCAGCTTGTTTCCTTCCCTAGGATGCCTTTTGGGGCTGTCACTCAGGCCCCTTTGTCGGCTCAGCAGGGGAAGGCAGGAGGAAATCATCTCTTTTGCTAATCACCTATCACAAGCAATGAAATCCCGCAGGCCGGTGCCAGCTAGGTACCGCTCAGAGGGGGAGACGGGAGAGGGTGGGGGGAGCAGCCTGTCACTCAAAGTGGATATTTATGAAAGATGACAGTTTTCAAATATCTCAATCTTGGACAGGGCTGCTCCAGTGTCACAGAGGAGTGTTGCAAAATTGGAAGAGTCAGCAGCCAGCGTTTATTTCATCAGGAACTGTCCAATCTCTGCCGATCGCTTGACAGTCCTGGGATTGCTGGCACGAGCTCGCCTCCTTCCCATTGGCCCTTGGCTTGCTGTTTGCATGGATCAGTCTAAAGAGTTGTAATAAATATGTAAAAGAGAGGGATGGGGACTCTTCGGCAAAACAGCCAGAGACAGCGGCCCGGGTGCCATGCTACCCTTTTTAGCTATGCCAAATAGGAGCCGTGGTAATTACATTCATATTGATCGTTATTGTGCGGGAACAAGGTGATTAGGCTTTCTTCATTTCGTTCCTGCAATGAGCTGCACATCCTCTCTCTCTCCCCACCTCAACCACTGCCCTCCCTTTGACTTAGAGGTGCTTAAAAACTGACTCTATGGAGAAAGTGATTTATAGGAGAGCCACCTTCCATCATGCAGATTAGCACTGTGCTGAAATCTCTCCTGAACCCCACCCTAACTTCTTAGGGACATAAGAAGAGCCCGTTGGATCATGCCCAGTATCCTGTTCTCACAGTGGCCAGCCTAAGGTCTGTGCCAAGTACAGTGGTACCTCTGGTTGCGAACAGGATCCGTTCTGGAGCCCCGTTGCAACATGAGCAGAAAGCAACCCATGTCTGCGCATGCGCAGGTCGCAATTTGCTGCTTCTGCACATGCGCGTGACATCATTTTGAGTGTCTGCGCGAGCGGCATAACCCGGAAGTAACCCTTTCCGGTACTTCCAGGTCGCCGCGGGACGCAACCTGAAAAGACATAACCTGAACCGAACGTAACAAGAGGTATGACTGTACAGAAGCCCTCTTCCTGCCTGTGGCTTCCAGCATCTGATATTCAGAAGCACTGCTGCCTCCAAACTGTGACAGCAGAGCATTGCCGTCCTGGCTACTAGCTAGGGTTGCCACACATCCTGAATTTGCTGGACACGCCCGAGATTTCAAGGATGAGATCAGTGTCCAGGTGGATTTTTTAATTTTTTAAAAAAATGTCAGGGGTTTTGTTTTTGGTGAGCTGAGGTCACTGGCCGAGCAGTGCTGCTGTCACAAAAGGAGGGGGCAGCCACATGCTGTCACTTCTGGTGGCCGTGTGCACGTCGGTCCTCCTACCCTCAGTGGCCTCCAGGCCCAGGCCGAAGCCCCTGCAGACCCTGTGGCCAAAGAGCCACTCGCCTGCCGTCTGCGGCCGCCACAGAGCCACCAAAGCGCCTGGCCTGCGCTGCTTCTCTGGAGGCAGCAGAGACCAGTTGTGGCTTGCAATAAGCAGGCCCAGCCTTCCAGGAGGCGCACCTGGCCTGCGCCGTGAAAATGATTCAGGAGGCGGAAGACCAGCAAAGGTAAGAGAGGGGATGGGAGGAGGGGGCAAGCAGGGGGGCTAGGAAGGGGTCAGTGGGAGGGAAAGGGTGAGTGACGGAGATGCTGGGTGGTGGTGGGGTGCCCCAAATGTGTGGGGGAGGGGAGTCCAGGTCTTTGGTCTTTGGAATATGGCAACCCTACTACTAGCCATAGACAACCTTTCTCCTCCATGAATTTGTCCAGTCTTCTCTTAAAGCCAGGTTGGTAGCCATTACTGCATCCTGAAGCAGAGAGTTTCATAGCTTAGCTGCGTGTTGTGTAAATAAAGACTTTCTTTTATTATTATTATATTTATTAAATTTATATACCGCCCACAGGTCACAGGGCAGATCACAGGAGAAAATCACAATATAAAAACACAAAATACACAATCAAAATCTTCCAAAATTCCACTTAATTGAATGTCCACAAGTTTTTATGTTAAGGGAAAGGGAGAAGGCCTTTCCCCCAGGACACATTTAATTTTATAAACTTACGTTATGTCACCTCTTACTTTCCTTTATTTGTAGGTTTTCTTTCCCTGCAAAAGAGGCATACGGTTTTTTCAGCCTCATTTTCAGGGAACTTGGGAATTTCTTTAGACTTTTGTTGGGTGAGGGGTTTTAGCAAGGGCAGCGGGTGTTTTTGTCTTTCCAGTATATATTTGTCCAATGCTTTGCAGCCTTTTTGGCTGTCCATATTTCCTGATCTGGAAAAGTCGTGTGTGTCTGTGTGCTGCTTTATGATGACTTCCCCTGGGTTTTAATTAAAATGTGGGTACCTAGGGAGGTCCCAGAGTACAGGCCACTGGTGAGATGCTTTGTAGACTGAAAGAAGAGACACAAGTACCCCCTCAGCCACCTCAAAACTAAAGTAAGCATAGGAGTCAGTGTGGTGTAGTGGTTTGAGTGTTGGACTAGGACCTGGGGGTCCAGGGTTCAAACCCCCACTCAACCACAAAGCTCACTGGGTGGCCTTGACTCATTCACTGCTTCTCAGCCTGACCTACCTCACAGGGTTGTTGTGCGGATTAAATGAAGAAGGGGAGAACCATGCATGACCCATTGAGTTCCTTGGAGGAAAAGGTGGAATATAAATGCACTAAATAAGTAATAAAATAAATATAAATATTGACTCATTAATTGATGGAGAATGTTTGTTTTTTTTAAGTGGAGAAAATGTTTGGTATAGTACTAATCCACAGCCCATTATGGTGCTGGAGGAGACTCTTGAGAGTCCCATGGACTGCAAGAAGATCAAACCTATCCATTCTTAAGGAAATCAGCCCTAAGTGCTCACTGGAAGGACAGATCCTGAAGCTGAGGCTCCAATACTTTGGCCACCTCATGAGAAGAGAAGACTCCCTGGAAGAGACCCTGATGTTGGGAAAGATTGAGGGCACAAGGAGAAGGGGACGACAGAGGACAAGATGGCTGGATAGTGTTCTTGAAGCTATCAGCATGAGTTTGACCAAACTGCGGGAGGCAGTGGAAGACAGGAGTGCCTGGCGTGCTCTGGTCCATGGGGTCACAAAGAGTCGGACACGACTAAACAACTAAACAACAACAACAAATCCAGAGCCCAACTTCTTCGATCTATGGACTGGATTGGTATGAACAGCCCTCTGCCAAAAAATGGCGGGCATATATGTCAGAATGATGGATGAATAACTCATCCAAAGTCTGGCAATTGAGAAGTGGTATTTTTTTCATACACACACACCCACGGAGTAAGAATTAGAGACAAAATAACTTCCTTAAGTTTCTAGTCCTTATGGATGCAGACAGCTTGATAAAGGAAGGGAAGCTGACGGCAGGAGCAGACAGCAAATGCAATTCCCTGGCACTGCAAATGGAACCATCCAAAACATGACTGCACTTGTTATTCTCTCTCCCTTTGTAAGGGTGCCTGCAAACTGCCGAGGGAGACTGTGATTTAATTAGCTGCTGTGACAGAACATTGTTCTTGCCAGCGCCTACTACCCTGTAGATGTGCATGCGCACTGGCGCATTGCACATGGGGCTGGCAGATATCTATAATGCAAATGGTGTTGGATTATGTTAGCGGAATACAAAGCTGATCCTCTGTTGTAGGTTTTCAGCCATTCTATTGAAATGGGTGATGAATTCAATTAGAGGCCTTGTTCATCTCCTCTTTGTGCCTGAATATCTTAGAGCCCTACATAATCTAAGCAAGCAACGTCACCCAGCCGGGCTGTCAGAGGGGAAGCCTTACTTTTTCCTGCTAAAAGGTTGGGCGAGAGTGGGCCATCTTGCAGACCATTCAAAACAGAGCTGGGTAAAGGGAGCACAGAGAGGGTTGAATATCTGTAGATGTAAATAAAATAAAATAAAAACCCAACACGTTCTCATGACCAATATGGTCTTTGTCTGGCTGGCAATTCCACCATGTGGTTCCTAAGAAATTGTTCAAAGAATGTCTTCAAGAGTCAAGCAGCCTTAAACAATGTAAGTCACAATTTTGGATGTATAAACTGTGGGATGAATATGGATTTGTGGGGAAATTGAGCAGCTGATATCCATAGTAGAGGATTTTGGAATTCAGAATTTGACACAGAATTTTTCACATTTTGTCTGAATCTTATTTTATTTCATATGTTTTATAGACCACTTGTTTGTAAGGAAAAACCTCAAAGCAGTTTACAGAAAGACTAAAACAATAAAACTGGCAATAAAAAAAAATACCAAGGGCTATTTGAAATCTTCAAATAAAAATAAAATTCAAAGATGAACTAAAAATAGATTAAAAGGCATGTCAACCTACTACATAACTTAGCAGGTGCTGAAATAGTACAGTTGAAGGTGCCTGCCAGATTTCAATAGGCAGGGAGTTCCAATGGCTGGGTGCTAGTGAATCTTGCTGGTGAATCTTAAGGGAATTGCCCTATGAGTTGGCTTGCCATAATTGGTCCCTTTCACACATTTTCTTTTCCACAAAATCTCTAAATCCATTTGAAAGTGATGAAGAAACAGTATTCATAAGGTGGCTGCATTATACTGAGTCAGAACATTGGTCCGTCTAGCTCAGCAGTGTCTACACTGACAGGCAGCAGCTCTCCAAAGCAGATG